AGGTACAAAGTGAAAAAATGAATGTTTCTATCAGTAATAACTCTCAACGTAAATGGACTAAATGCCCCATTCAAAAGACACAGGATAGCTGAATGAATAAGAAAACATGACCTACACATATGCTGCCTACAAGAGACCCACCTCAGATAAAAAGACCTACACAGATTTAAAGTAAAGGGATGGAAAAACATATTCCAAGCAGATGGGCATGAGAAGAAAGCAGGGGTTGCAAAACTTATATCAGATAAAATAGATTTGAAAACAAAGGCCATAAAAAGAGATGAGAGGGACACTTTATAATACTTAAAGGAAGAATCTATCAAGAAGACATAAACATTGTAAACTTATATGCACCCAACATAGGGGCACCCAAATATATAAGGAAAATCTTGGACAACTTCAAAAAAGATATAGACAGCAACACACTGATAGTAGGGGATTTTAACACCCCACTATCAAAAATGGACAGATTTTCCAAACAAAACGTCAACAAGGATTTTGTGGAGCTGAATGACGCACTGAGTCAAATGGACTTAACTGACATATATAGAACCTTATATCCCAAAGAAGCAAAATACACATTCTATTCAAATGCACATGGAACTTTTTCAAAGATAGACCATATTAGAGGACACAAAGCAAACCTCAGCAAATTCAGGAAAATTGACAATACCAAGCTTTTTCTCACGCCACAAGGGTGTGAAACGGGAAATCAACCTCAAAGAGAAATTTCAAAAACTTGCAAACTCATGGAGACTGAACAGTACACTATTAAACAATGAATGGGTCAATAATGAGATCAAAAAAGAAATCAAAAAGTTTCTGGAAACAAATGAAAATGAACAGACAACTGTCCAAAACCTATGGGACACAGCAAAGGCAGTCCTGAGAGGGACGTTCATAGCAATACAGGCTTACCTAAAAAAGATAGAAACATTTCAAATAAAAGACCTAACACTACAACTTCAAGAACTGGAGAAACAACAACAAATAAATCCCAGAGCAAGCAGAAGGAAGCAAATAATCAAGATTAGAGCAGAACTGAATGACATAGAGACAAAAAGAACAATTCAAAGGATCAACCGATCCAGGAGCTGGTACTTCAGAAAGATAAATAAAATTGACAAGCCTTTAAGCAGACTCATCAAGAAAAAAAAGGAGGGAACCCAAATTAATAATAAGAGAAATGAAAGAGGAGAAATAACAACTGATACCACAGAAATACAAAGGATTGTAAGAAAATACTATGAGCAATTATATGCCAAGAAATTTGAAAACCTCCATGAAATAAACAAATTCCTAGAAAAGTATAATCTTCCAACAGTGAAGGAGGAAGAAACAGAAAGCTTGAACAGACTGATAACAGCTGGGGAAATTGAAGCAGTAATCAAGAAACTCTTGGCACACAAAAGCCCTGGGCTGGACGGTTTCACAGAAGTTTACAAAACATTTAAGGAAGAGCTAACGGCTGTCCTTCTCAGACTATTCAAAAAAATCCAAGAGGAGGGAAGACTCCTAGACTCTTTTTATGAGGCCAGCATTACCTAATCCCAAAACCAGATAAAGACCCTACAAAGAAAGAAAACTACAGGCCAATTTCGCTGATGAACATAGATGCTAAAATCCTCAACAAAATATTGGCAAACCGCATCCAGCAATACATTAAAAAGATCATCCACCATGATCAAGTGGGATTCATCCCAGGGATGCAGGGATGGTTCAATATACACAAGTCAATAAAAGTAATACATCACATAATCAAAAGGAAAGACAAAAACCACATGATCATCTCGATAGACGCAGAAAAAGCATTTGATAAGGTACAGCACCCATTTATTATCAAAACACTCAGCAAAATGGGAATAAATGGGGCATTCCTCAACATAATAAAGGCCATATATGAAAAACCTACAGCCAACATTATATTCAACGGGCAAAAACTAAAAGCTTTCCCACTAAGATCGGGAAAATCACAAAGATGTCCGCTTTCACCACTTCTATTCAACATAGTATTGGAAGTCCTAGCCACAGCAGTCAGACAAGAAAAAGAAATAAAAGGCATCCAAATAGGAAAGGAGGAAGTAAAGCTATCATTGTTTGCAGATGACATGATAGTGTACATAGAAAACCCCGTAGTCTCCAACAAAAAACTACTCAACCTAATAGGTGAATTTGGCAAAACAGCAGGATATAAAGTCAACTCAGAAATCAAAGACATTTCTGTATGCCAGCAATGAAATAGAAGAAGAAATCAGGAAAAAATATATATATATTTGATATAGCAAGAAAAATAAAGTACCTAGGACTAAATTTAACCATGGAGATAAAAGACCTGTATGCAGAAAATTATATAACACTGAAGAAAGAAATTATGGAAGACACAAATAAATGGAAGCATACACCATGCTCATCGATTGGAAGAATTAATATCATCAAAATGTCCATACTACCCACAGCGATTTACAGATTGAACGCAATCTCTATTAAAATACCAATGACGTATTTCACAGAAATAGAACAGACATTTCAAAAATTTATATGGAACCATAAACGACCCCGAATAGTCGCAGCAATTTTGAGAAAGAAAAACAAAGTAGGAGGGATCACAATACTGGACATCAAACTATATTACAAAGCCACTATACTCAAAACAATCTGGTACTGGCACAAGAACAGACCCATAGACCAGTGGAACAGAATAGAAAGCCCAGGTCTATATGGGCAACTAATATTTGACAAAGGGGGCAGAAGCATAAAGTGGAGTAATAATAGCCTCTTCAAAAAAAGTGTGGGGAGAGCTGGACAGCTACATGCAAAAAATTGAAATTGGATCATCAGCTGACACCATACACAAAAATAAACTCAAGATGGATAAAAGACTTAAATATGAGTCGCAACACCCAAAAGTCCTAGAGAACATTGGCAGGAACCTCTCAGATATCCCATGCAGCAATTTTTTCACCGATATGTCTCCTAAAGCAAGGGACATAAAGGAAAGAATAAACAAGTGGGATCTCATCAAAATAAGAAGCTTCTGCACGGCTAAAGAAAACATCTGCAAAATGAAAAGGGGGCCAACCATATGGGTAAATATATTTGATAATGATACATCAGATAGAGGCTTGATCTCCAAAATATATAAAGAACTCACACGACTCCACTTCAAGAAGACAAATGATCCAGTCAAAAAATGGGCAAAGAACCTGGGCAGACACTTTTCCAAGGAGGAGATACAGAGGGCCCAGAGGCATTTGAAAGGATGTTTGGCATCACTAGCCATCAGAGAAATGCAGATCAAAACCACCATGAGGTACCACCTCACACCGGTCAGAATGGCCATCATAAACAGATCAACAAACAACAGGTGTTGGCGAGGCTGTGGAGAAAAGGGAACCCTAGTCCACTGTTGGTGGGAATGCAGACTGGTGCAGCCACTGTGGAAAGCAGTGTGGAACTTCCTCAAAAAGCTGAAAATGGAACTACCTTTTGATCCAGTGATGCCTCTGCTGGGACTATACCCTAAGAACCCCAAAATGCCAATTCAAAAGAACCTATGCATCCCAGTGTTCATAGCAGCGCAATTTACAATAGCCAAGTGCTGGAAGCAGCCTAAATGCCCATCAGTAGATGAGTGGATCAAAAAATTATGGCACATTTACACAATGGAATACTATGCAGCAGAAAGAAAAAAGAACTACTACACTTCACAACGGCATGGATGGAACTAGAGAGCATTATGCTAAGCGAAATAAGCCAGGGGGCAAAACACAAATACCATATGATCTCACTTATAAGCAGAACCTAACCAACAAAACAAAGAGGCAAGGAAAATAAGACCTGCAACACTGAAAAAAACAAAAGAAACCAAGAGAGACAAGAGGGTAGGAGGGAGGGGAGGGTGGGGGAAAGGAAGGGAAGGGGCAAGTCAAAGAACATATAGCGAGGACTCATGGACAAAGCCAAAGTGGGGAAGGATTGAGGGAGGGAGGGGGAGAGGGGGGAGGGGAAAGTGGAGGGGGGAAGGTGGAGACAAATGTATTTGAAAAAATAAGTACTTTAAAAAATAAATAAATAAATTTAAAAAGAAAAGAAATTGGAAGGGCAATAATAGCTAACAAGTACTGAGCACCTCTTGTGTACCAGGCACATCTTATCACTTTAATCCTCACCACCTCTGTTTAAGACAGATAGATGTTTTATTTTTCTCCTAATTTAGGAACGAGGAAACTGAGGTTTTATACAACTAGCAGATAACTGGCTGGGGACTCAGAGTCGGGTCTGTCTGTCCCTAGAGAAAGAGCTTGGACCACCCTGTGCAGACCCTACCAGTGCCTGCTTCTAATACAGACTCCCACCCACTGTAACAGCAGCTATAACCAGGGAGTGGGTTGGGGGATGGGCTGGTGGTGAGGACTTTTTCTTTTTCTTTATATATTTCTGCAGTGTGTCTTTTTCAATAAGCAAGCATTATTTTGTTATAAAAGTACAAATCTAGAGAAACCTGATAAAATAACCCTGATGCTGGGTACTTTGCTAGGAATAGAATTTATTTCTTTCAGATTTGAATATCTATTATGGATATCCATTCAGTTATACATTTTTTTTTGGAAATAAAAAGCATCCTTCAAACTTACATGAAAGAACCCTTGTTAAGAGGTCTCAGGATTGCCATTACTTTATCTTGTCGCCTATACTCCAGATAAGATATCTACCAATATGCTTTTTATAAACCACAGGGGAATTGGATTCTGCAGGAGACAGATACAAAGAATCCTTTTCAGTCCTTGAATAAGAAGATTTTATGGATCATTTCATAGTGGCTGGATTTCTCATCTCCCACCTATTACTAGGTGGTTGTTTCTTAGGATGTTTAAAGAAAGCAGCTCATCAAGAGAAAATAGGTCTGTGTCTCTGGGCTTCCCGGCTCTATTTACAGCTTGCTAGGACTCCTTGACAGCCTCCAGAAGAGCCATGCCAGAGAGCTATCCTTGGGGGCTTGCCCAGTTACCTCAGTCACGTGGGCTCTGCACTTTTCCTTAAAGGTCCTGGGCCAGCTCTGATACCACAGAGCTACAGCTCTTAGAGATAAACAAGATTTTCTGCAGAGAGAAAAGAAGGATTTGAAAAATTACCCGCCACAATGACAGACAGAAGCCCTTTCGAAACGGACATGTTCACCCTGACCCGCTATGTTACGGAAAAGGGGCGTCAGGCGAAAGGGACGGGAGAGCTGACACAACTGCTGAACTCCATGCTGACGGCCATCAAAGCCATTTCCTCGGCTGTGCGCAAGGCTGGCCTGGCCAACCTGTGAGTCCTGGGAGCAGGTGCGGGTGTAGAGAGCTGCTCTGCCATGAGGGATAGGGCCCAGGTGGGGCGTGGGCAAAGTGGTAGGCACTTGGCAGAAAATCTGTTCAAAATGCTTTAAAACTGCCTGTGTGCCCTGGACAGAAGTTACCTTTAAAGTTTCTATCATGTATGCTTTGATAAAGGGGACTTTGACTTATTTCAAGAAAGGAAAAAAATACTTAGAGACATGTTATAGAGAAAAAAATATATATATAACTTTTCCAGTTGTCATGTATTATAATTATAATAAGCTCAGTGGCTTGTTAGATTAACACATATTGAATGATAGTGACTTTTGTATTTGCATTCTCACTGGCACAAAGAAACAGCCAGAAGACTGGAGAGGTCTCTTTATGCCCTTTGCAGACAGGAGCATTTTGTTGTCCTGACCTTTGCCAATACATTAGGAGCTAGGAATAATTTGCAAATGTAGGCCTAAGCCTACAAAACAACTTTGTAATTTCTTCTCTGTGACTTTTTTTTTTTTAGTCTTCTCTACTTGGTGGGCAGGAAGCTGGGAGGTACTGGGTCTGGGAGGACAAAATGCACAGTGTTCTAGACTTTGTTCTCTTTGGTGCTTTACCCAAGTGCAGAAGGAGGCCAAGTTCAGGCTATGGCTGCTGATCAACACAGCCAAGTGTCCAGTTTAAATTTGTAATTAAAAAAAAAAAAGGGCAGTCTTCTTTGGAAGACTTTTCCTTTTCATTACAGTAATTCCAGTGGAGGTCCTCTCAAAAGTTGAAAGGACTTCTTCTTCTTACTACTCTAAAATGAAGAAATAGCAAAGCGCAATATTTAAAATATTTATTATTAACAATTTAGTGCTTTTAACACAAAAATGTGATAGCATTCTATGACAAGATATAATTATCACAAGAATATTATAGAATTATTTATACAAGGTTTTGTGACCCAGTAATGGGATCCAGGTTAAGACACCTTATGATCAGCTTCTTCCCACTCTGTGTATTGCTATCATTTGGAGTTAATGGCCAAGCTCTATACTTACGGACTTTCATGAATGTGAAGTGCAACCATTTGCCTCTGTCCTGCTTCTGCCAGATGATTAGGGCTGCTGAGTGACACGAAGTAGTAACTTTGCCTCTGCCTGTATGTGGGCTCCACTTTGCTTACTGCCCTTACTTGCTGACATTTCAGTATTTATTCCCCTGTCCTTTGGGCTCCTGCTCTGGGTAGGATGCTCAGCTAGGCAGCAGTTGCCGTGGTATGGTTGTATCAGTTGGCTGCAGAACTGACTCTGTGGCCATTGAGTGTGCAGATGAAGTGGACTCAGTCAGGAGTTGGATAATTAAGGTACTCAACTGACTTGACTTTTCCTTCCATGTGATCATGGGCAATCATCAATTCTCACAACCTCAGTTTGTAAAATCCTCCAGACGAGGATCCTAAGAGCTCCTAACTTGTAGGGTTGTTGTAAGGGTTAGCAAGTGCACGTGATGATGATTTCGACAGTGCCGACCTAAAAATGTGTTTAGTAAATGCTCTTTATTACCACAGTTTAAAGCCCAGTTCCAGGGAGTTTGCCAGCTGACTGGTCGATGCTGCAGACTGACCACTAGGTGGCAGATGCAGCCTGTGGAATAAGACGTCAGGATTCCACATTGTCTAGGGGGCTGAATTTTCTTTGGTCTGGCAGGGGCTCCATGGTCTGCCCATTCAGACAGTCTTTTCCCCCATCTCCTCTTTAAAAGATATCCAAGATGGCAACAGGAGAAGCCCATTGATTGGAAATCCTTTCTAGCAAGACGCTGAGATCGTTTTAAAAAGCCACTGGTACTGCTCAAGGCAGCGAAACAGTAGCCCTGTGTCCCAGAATGGGACTTTCACATGGTCCTGCCACTTCCCACTTACGGGGCCTCAAGTTCCTCATCCCTTGCTTCCTTCTTTTGCAAAAACATTTCTAGGCACACTCTCTACTAATGCAACTTAAAAGTGATGAGAAATTTTCATGTTTTCCTTCTTTTTTCTCCACTCCTTGCTGTAGGAAGAAGGAAATGCTGGAATGCCTCCCCTGAAAACCTCTTCATGGCTTTTATTGTCAAAATGATTGAACATCCTACCTGAAAATGGTCAGGAAAGCTTTAGTGTAGTTAAAATGCTAGAAGATATTGTCTTGTGAGTAAAACACCCCTCACCCATGCTCTAACTTGGAGCAGTCAGCAATCAGGCCTCCTTCAGAATGTGCCTCCATTCCTTCTGGAAGGAGGAGTGTGGTTGTGGGTTGACAGCAGAATGCCCAGCACCTGGAGGGAGGGTGAGAAGGCCTGTTGAGGGGAAGGAAAGTGTGTGGTTTGTGGGGTGTGTGGGGGTGGTTTACAAGCACAGGACAGGGAACCCGTTTCTCAACTCCACCCACCACAGGTCTTGGGAATCCCAGCTCTTCATTCTCCAGCAGCATCTGCCTCCAAAATCCACATTAAGCAAGAGTCTGGGTTTGTAGTGCTTTTAAACTCTGATACAAAATAACCCAGCTTTGCTGTTGCTGTTGTTTGTTTATTTGGTTTTGTTTTGAACCAGAAGCTACACTCTTTGGGGCCAGGCTACCAGTATTGTTCTGCAAGGCAGCTGGCTCAGCACAGCACAGCACAGCAGACATCAAGTGATGGTAGAGGGCTGTGGGGAGGGAAGAGGCTGTCAGTCAGAGAAGCGAGTGGGAAATGACTGTCCCCGCTGAGCATAAATCTGAGGTTCTCAACTGGGCCACCTGTTAGGCCACCTGACGATTCCTTCAACAAATAAATGGTATTAAAAAGGGAGAGGAAGAGAAGATTACTGTTCTGCTCTCCCTCTTTTTCATTATTCATTGAACATGTATTGAGCACCTCCTATGTCTCTGGATACTGTGGAAATAAATATAGTTGCTCCACTTCTTGCTTCAGTGGGCAGATAATCTAGCAGGAAAAACATCCCCATGAACAGATTGTGAGCAGATGTGGATAGGATGACAGAGGTGTGCCTGGTGTGTGGTGGGAACAGGAAGGGGGACCAGGGAAGCTTCCAGAATGGGTTGGGGGACCAGTAGGGAAAAGCTGATGGTGTTTAAGGAGTACACTTATAGGGAGAGCGCTATGAGTGAAGGTGGAAAGGAGAGGAGCAGCTTGCTGGGTGCCGGTGGCCACAGGACTTTTGCAGCTTTTGGATTGCAGAAGGCTTGAGTCGGAGGGTGGTCATGTGGCTCTTGGAGGGAAGAGCATGGGGGTGGGGCAGCAAACCCAGGGGTTGATCCTGAGGCAGGGGTGTGCCCCTGGGTGGGTGGGTCTGGAACCTGAGACTGGCCAAGCGAGGGTGACAGTCACAAGAGAAAGTCCCAGTGTGGGAACAGACATTGCCAGTGGGGCCTGTGCAGTTCCCCTCCCAATGTGGGGACTTGGGAGTGCTGGGCGGACAAGTAGTCTGACTCAAATATTGAAAGATCCCTCCCATCAGAGTGGAAGGTATAAGACCTTTTCATATTAATACTCTAAAACACAAAGCCTCTAGATAGAATTTTATAGTAGTGTTCTTTCTGATATTGCTTGAAAAGAGATAGTGAAAAACTATATTTAATTAGTTAAGTCTGTCTCCACATTTGCTTCTTATTCAAGTAACACCACCCTAAAGCAGGGCAATTTTTAGTTTGGCCAAGCAGGCCACTATCTGAGGAATATTGAAATAATAGGGCTATAAAGTCATGATTCTTTACATTTTTGGATTCATTAATTATAGCACCGTCTGACTTTATAACTCCTTAACCTCCTAGTGCCTCAGGCAGGTTTGTAATTTACAGTAGGAAGGCTGAATTCTGGTTAGCATGTTGGGTGAACGGGGGAATAGGGTAATATCCTAGGGGTGTAAAGGAAGCAAGGTTGAGAGAATCACTGCTGTGGGACAGGACATACTTGGTCTGTGATTATAATTTAGAGACTCCAGAGCCATGAAGGGAAGGGAGATACACTGGTGGTGTCTTAGTGTCTGGACTTACTTGTTGGAGTTCAGGATCCTTTGGCTATGTCTAGTGGTGTCATTCAACTTTTTTGTCTTCTTAGGTATGGGATTGCGGGAGGTGTAAACGTGACGGGGGACGAGGTGAAGAAACTGGATGTGTTATCCAATTCTTTGGTAATCAACATGCTCCAGTCCTCCTACAGCACCTGTGTACTGGTCTCAGAAGAGAATAAAGAGGCAGTTATCACCGCCAAGGACAAGAGGGTGCGTACAGGAGGCTGGGTGCAGTTCCACTCATAAGCACTAGATGGCGATACAGAGTTAAGAAGATGGTTACCTTGCGTTTCTTTTATTTCTGGGATTTTCCTCTACTGCTTAATCTTGTTTTCCGGAAACAATTTCATACTTCCTTAGTTAGAAGTCTTACACTGTCTCGTAAAGAAAGACTCTATAGCTAGCAGGGCAGTGATTCACTCAGGAAATAAATCAGAGTGATTTACCAAAATGCCTCAGTGAGTAGGATACATGGATTTTCGTTTAACTTCCCTGTCAGCAACAAGTGCTGGCATTTTCAAGAGACTTGAAAATCAGCAAGTTCAGTAAAGAGTTGAGTTCCTGGGAAGAGTCGTACTATATAGCCTCTTACTTTTTCCCTCCCCACTTCTATTCCTCTCCACACTTCCCCCCCCCCCACACCACACTTCCTCTCAATGAGATTATGGTTTCAGCAGAGGTTTCTTTATTCCTGACACATTGTCAGGCTAATATAGAAAAGAAATCACAAAGGTGGTGGCTCTCTAATGTTAATACAATGGTCAGCTTGGTTAGTGCAGTGCATGGCTGGGAGAGTCCATATCCACTATGGTTTCAAGAACAGCTTATTACAGAAAGAGATTTGTTGGTGGCTAAAATATTCAACCATATTCTCCTGCCAGTATAATAATACAAAATACATACTGGGACTATTGGCCCTTGATTTATACATTGTGTGTTGGAGGCAAAGTGCCATTTCTTTATGATTAGCTGGTAGTATGAAAAAGGAAATGACAAATTTATTAAGTACCTACCGTATGCCAGGGACTGTGCAAAGCACTTTACTCTTTTTATCTCACATAATTGAAGCTAAATCACACCTATTCTTTTCAACTTTCAATGTTCACTGATATGACCCTCAAGCCTCTCTCCAATATAATCTACCATTTTCTTTCCCAGCTGCCTTGAGCTACACAAGTCTTCATGCTCTTTGATACTCTATGCCTGTTCCCATATAAGTTCCTTAAACACTTTCCAACATATGCTAGATGCCCAACAAATATCTGTTGAATGAATACATGAATGAATTAACAGGCTAAGTTGGGTTATCTGCAAGGAGAATGGGAAATGTCCAAGTTTATGAATTACCCCACTCACTTGTGCCGTTTCCATCCATCCTTGCCTATCCCTGTTGAACAAGGGGATAAAAAATGAAATAAAGCTAGGGAAAAGTAATTTTAGTGACAATAGAAGTGACTTCCATTTTACTTTAAGTTTTGTTGTGTTTTTTTTTTTTTTTTTACCATGTTTAATTAGCTAGGAGACTCCAGTCCCCATCATTAAGACTCTAATAGGGCTTTGCACAAAGGAGGCCTGTAAAAGTATCTGGTGATTTCTCCCAATGAAATGTTGATTGGAATTGTCTGTGACAGCCAACCCACAGCAATGTAGGGGGATGTGAGGGACATGGCATCACAAGTCCCCACCTACTCTGTCTTCTGGTTGTCATGTCAGACATGTGGATTGGATACAGTAAAATGCGGAGGAGTATTTTTATTTTACTTATGCATAACAGCTATCTATGCATGCTAGTTATCTTAATAAGATGGACCCAAAGGCCCTGGGACATTGCTTTGAGATTTTATTTTTCTTTTTTTGCAGAAGTGCTCCAAAATGCCCCCCCCCCAAAAAAATAAAGCCTATCTGGGGAAAGGGTCAGAATTATCAATAAATCAATCACTGACTTTACTTTGAATGTGGGTGGAGTGAGTCTGAGTTTATCTTTAGTTTCCCCACTTTTTCCCTGCAAAATGCCCATTTCAAACCTTGTTTCCTTTCACCCCTCAGCAGCTCCAAGTTCCCATTGGCCCAAGTTGGAGGGGAGGGTGGAGCCAGAGGAAGCAGGAGGAAAGCTTTTTGGAGGTGAAGGGAAGTCCATTGCCACACGTGTGTGGCCATAACTAATCTGTGGTGGGCAGGTAGGTCCTGACCTGCACAATTCATATATGCTGTTATACTTCATTCTCCTTAAGTAATTGCATTTTTTAAAATAAGATTATCCCTTTGCTCTCAATTGGTTTTTGGTGTTGTATTATCTGCTCTTCACAGTTACATAGGCTCTGTTGATCTGAAGTGGTTCTCCACCCTGTGCATTTAGGGGAAATATATTGTCTGCTTTGACCCACTGGATGGATCTTCCAACATTGACTGTCTGGCCTCCATTGGAACCATATTTGCCATCTACAGAAAGGTGAGTAGACTGTCTGATTTTTAATGCCTCATTCATCTGGTGGCTTCCAGAAGGTTCCTGGCCTGGGAGCCACGAGTCTGGAGTTCTAATCTCTGTCCTCCTACTAAGTAGGCAAGCAACTGCAGGCAAACCATGAACCTTGCTTTGCCTCAGACTCCTGAATGGAGGAACTGAATTGATAATTTTCCCTCTGTCCTCTTCACAACATTTGTGGGAAGGTAAAGTGAGAAGACAGATGGGGCCTTGTATTGAAAACCTGGGTGAGACACAAATGTCAGACATGGTATTAGGTTCCAGGTGACATCTGTTTCTTCTTTATGGATTTCAAATCTGACTGCATTACTTTTCTATCACTACCATAACAATTTACACACATTTTAGAGCTTAAAATGACACCCACTGATGATCTAGTTCTGTAGGTCAGAAGTCTGGCAGTGTGGCTAGGTTTTCTGCTCAGAGTATCATAAGGCCAAGATCTGGGTGTCAGCCAGCCTGGCCCCCCTATTGAGAGGTGGTACTATGTGTGTAGAATTAGCTTCTAGGCTTACTTAGGTTGTTGGTAGAATTCAGTTCTTCTCTGTCATAAGATGAAAGTCCCTGTTTCCTGGCTGGCTGATGCTGGGGGTCATTCTCAGTTTCTAGAGGCTTCCTGCATTCTTTGGCTTGTGACTCCTATATTATTAAGTTCAACAAAGTCAAAACAAATCATTCTCACACTTCTGGCCTCCCTGACACCCCCACTTTGCTTCCAGTCAGAAAAATAGTTCTCTGCTTTCAAGGGTTTGTTGAACTTGAGGGAGTAGCTGGTGGGGTCCTGGTGCTGACTCCTCCCCCATACCGCAGCAGCCATCTTGCTCAGGCAGAGACCATTCCCTTGAGAGACAGTAGTGTGAGAGGACACAGTAGCCCCTTCTCCAGGAGTCTCTGCCTCTGCAGGGGTGCACAAGCCACACTGCTGAGTACAGAGTGGCAGTCACAGACAGTAGACCCCTGGATAATGGGGGTGCAGAGTGGTCTAGAGATGCTTTAGGAGAGTCTGGAGATGGAGGCTTTGGGGAGAGAACTGAGGGAATAGCTGGCTGGAACCTGGTGCTGACTTCTCCTCTATACGATGGCAGCTATCTTGCTCAGGCAGAGACCACTCCCCTGAGCGGCAGCAGTGTGAGAGGACCCAATAGCCCTGACACCAGGACTATTTGTCTGTCCTAGAGGTGGTGCTCAAGCCCGACTGCTGAGTACAATGACTAGATTAACAACTGGAGGAGACAGATGCAGACAGTAGATTCCTGAAAGTCTCAAAGAGACTGCCTAAGGTCAGACAGGGTCAACATCTGACATGATGAGAGGCAGATCCAGAAAGGAAAAAAAAAAAAAAGAGCGGTCTTCTACCATAAAAATTCATACCGCAAAGTCAGAAAGTCAAGCCAGATCAATTTAAGAAGCAGAAGCAAAGAAGAGTCTCACAAATAATGGGAAGACAAAGAAACACCCCTCAATTGAAGGGAAAGGAGGAATCCCCACAAAGAGAACTAAATGAAATAGAGACAAGTAAACTAACAGATATTGAATTCAAAACAATGGTTTAAAGAAACTGAGTGAGCACAAAGAGAATTACCAAAACCTCCTACAGGGAAACTATGAGGAACTTACTGCAAACTATATCAGCATGAAAAAGGACATAGAAACTATCAATAAGAGGCAAGAGGAAATGAAGAATACAATTTCTGAATTGAGGAACACTGTAGAAGGAATACAAAGAAGGATACATGAAGCAGAGGATAGAATCAGTGAGCTGGAGGACAAGGTAGAAAAAAGCTCCCAGAAAGAGCAAGGAAATGAAAAAAGACTCAGAGAGAATGAGGAGCTGTTTAGGGAAATGCAGGACAACAGGACAACCTGAAATGTAATAATATCCATATAATAGGGATATGAGAATGGGAAGAAGAGGAGCAAGGGATAAAGAACCTGTTTGAAAAAGTAAAAGTAGTAATGGAAAACTTCCTTAATTGGCAGAGAGAAAAAGTCACACAAGTCCAGGAAGCACAGAGGGTCCCACTCAAGAAGAACCCAGTGAGGCCCACTCCAAGACACATCATCGTTAAAATGGCAAATATAAAAGACAAGGAGAGAACCCTAAAGGCAGCAAGGGAGGAAGAGGTAGTAACATACAAGGGAGCTCCGGTACAGCTAGCAGCTTACTTCTCAACAGAAACACTACAAGCTAGAATGGAATGGCAAGAAATATTCCAAGCAATGGAAAGCAAACACTTTCAACCATACTGCTTTACCCAGTAAGGCTCTCAATTAAAATGGAAGATGAAGTAATGAGTTTCCCAGACAAAATAAGGTTAAAAAAATACACCTCCACCAAACCAGCAATGCAAGCTATGCTAAAGGGAGTGCTTTAACAAGATGAAGAAAAAGAGTGAGAAAGAGCAGAACACAAGTACAAAGGGGGAAAAATGAATAGGTACCTATCAATTATAACCTTAAATGTAAATGGATTAAATGTCCCAATCAAAACACTTAAGATAGCTGAATGGATTAGAAAACATGACCCACACATATGCCGCCAACAAGAGAGCCACCTCAGAACTAAGGACCTACACAGACTCAAAGTAAAAGGATGGAAAAAAAAATATTCCAAGCAAATGGACAGGAAAAAAAGCAGGGGTAGCAACACTTATATCAGACAAAATAGATTTCAAAACAAAAGCCATAAAAAGTGACCTAGAAAGACACTTTATAATACTCAAAGTAAGAATCCAACAGGAAGACATAAACATTGTAAATGTATATGCACCCAACATAGGAGCACCGCAATATATAAGGAAAATCTTGGAGGACTTCAAGAAAGATATACACAGCAACATACTGATAGTAGGTGATTTTAACATCCCACTATCAACAATGGACAGATCTTCCAAGCAAAGAATCAGCAAGAATATTGTGGAACTGAATGTAGCATTAGAGCAAATGTACTTAACAGACATATATAGAACCTTTCATCCCAAAGAAGCAAAATACACATTCTTTTCAATTGCACATGGAACATTCTCAAAGATAGATCACATGATAGGAAAGAAAAAAAACCTCAACAAATTCAAGAAAACTGAAATCATAACAAGCATTTTCTCAGACCACAAAGGCTTGAAACTAGAAACCAACCTCAAGGAAAAAACTCAAAAACATTCAAAGTCATGGAGACTGAATAGCATGCTATTAAACAATGAGTCAACAATGAAATCAAAGAAGAAATCAAAAAGTTTCTGGAAACAATTGAAAATGAACACACAACAGTCCAAAATCTATGGGACACAGCAAAGGCAGTCCAGAGAGGGAAGTTCATAGCAATACAGGCCTACCTAAAAAAGATAGAAACATTTCAAATAAATGACCTAACCCTACAGCTTCAAGAACTGGAGGAACAACAACAAACAAAGCCCAGAGCAAAGAGAAGAAAGGAAATAATGAAGATCAGAGCAGAACTGAATGACATGGAGACTAAAAGAACAATTCAAAGGATAAACCAATCCAAGAACTGGTTCCTTAAAAAGATAAACAAAATCCATAAACCTTGAAGCAGACTCATCAAGAAAAAAAAGGAGAGGACCCAAATATATAATATCAGAAACGAAAGAGGAGAAATAACAACTGATACCACAGAAATACAAAAGATTGTAAGAAATTACTATGAACAATTATGTACTATGAAATTTGAAAACCTGGGTGAAATGGACAAATTTCTAGAAAAATATAACCTTCCACACTGAATGGAGAAGAAATAGAAATCCTGAACAGATAACAGCAGGTGAAGTTGAAGCAGTATCAAAAAAACTCCCAGCACACAAAGGCCCTAGACAGGATGGTTAAACAGGAGAATTTTACAAAACATTTAAGGATCAGCTAACCCCTGTTCTTCTCAGAATAATCCAAAAAATCCAAGAAGAGGGAAGACTCCTAAACTCTTTTTATGAGGCCAGCATCATCCTAATCCCAAAACCAGATAAAGGCGCAACCAAGAAAGAACACTACAGGCCAATATTGCTGATGAATATAGATTCTAAAATCCTCCACAAAATATTGGCAAACCACACCCAGCAATACATTAAAAAGATCATCCACTATGATCAAGTGGGTTCATACCAAGGATGCAAGGATGGTTCAATATACGGAAATCAATAAACATAGTACATCACATAAACAAAAAGAAAAACAAAAACCATGTGATCATATCAATAGATGCGGGAAAAGCATTTGATAAGGTACAGTGCCCATTAATGATAAAAACACTCAGCAAAGTGGGAATAAAGGGGGCATACCTCAACATAATAAAGACCATATGTGAAAAATCTACTGCCAACCTCATACTCAATGGACAAAAACTAAAACCTTTCCCACTAAGGTCGGGAGCAAGATAAGGACATCCACTTGCACCACTTCAATTCAACATGGTATTGGAAGGCCTAGCCACAATGATCAGAGAAGAAAAAGAAATAGAAGGCATCCAAATTTGAAAGGAGGAAGTAAAACTATCATTTTATGCAGATGACATGATAGTGTACATAGAAAACCCCATAGACTCCACCAAAAAACTACTTGACCTAAAAAGTGAATTTGGCAAAACAGCAGGATACAAAGTCAATATTCAGATATCAAAGGCGTTTTTGTACACCAACAATGAAATATTAGAATCAGAAATCAGGAAAAAAAAATCCCACTTGCTAGAGCAACAAGAAACATAAAGTACCTGGAATAAACTTAAGCAATGAGGTAAAAGACCTGTACACAGAAAACTATACAACACTGAAGAAAGAAACTGAGGAAGACACAAGCAAATGAAAGCATATACCGTATTCATGGATTGGAAGAATTAACATCATCAAAACGTACATACTACCCAAAGCAATTTATAGATTCAATGCAATCCCTATTAAAATAGCAATGATATATTTCACAGACATAAAACAAACATTTCAAAAATTTATACGGAACTATAA